GGGCAGGTGCTGGCGGATCCTTCTGTTACGGCCTGTGACCTCGTACCGCTGCCATGCGGCGCCTGCGGGAGCTGTAACAAGACCATGTAGGATCTCATAAAATTTAATAGGAGTGCAGCTGTTGTAACGTGTTAACAAGCTTTGGGTCATCTCTGTCTTGGGGCAAGGTGATAATCTGGGCCTTATGACACACCGTGTGTTCTCCAGCTTCTGTAGTATGTGCGTGGCTGTAGGTTTTGCAGAGCTACAGAGGCTAATCTCGCATGTTTGCTCTAGGTAGGAAGGTGAGAAGGCTTGTGGTGATAGGCCCATTCAGGCAAGCTGCAGGCTAAGAATACAATAACCATAGGTACCTTTACTCCACCTTTTCTACACCAGCCATGGGAGCCACTGTGCAAAACATAATTTTAAGACATCAGTTCTGTCACTGTGAAGGTGCTCAGCAAGAGAGACCGCATCTCAGCAGATCCCATGTACCTCTGCAGTTACTGGCAAGGTTAAAGACAACTGTTATCAGGTAGGACACGCAAGTGGAGCGTGTCTATCCACATCCAGGGCATGAGTAGACTTTGCTCGGATCTTGCCAGATGTGTTAGCTCTCCTGTATCTGTGTTAAAGATACTGTATCTGTTACTGTTCCCCATGTGCTGGGATCTATAGCAGCCTCTGCCAGTGCCTCAGGAGAGCCGAGGGCAGGAAGTGGCCTCCTGCTCAGCCGGTTGCAGTAAGGATTACTGGGGACCACTGTTAAACAGGGATGCAGTGGCTTGCCTTTAAAACTTGTCTGTGTGCATAGTCTGCCTGAAGGAGCTGGGACTGAGAACAGCCTTTGCTGTTTTGGTATGAAATTACATATGGATGCTCTTAAGTGGTTCATTTTAACTAACTTAAGTTAACTAAGAAGTTCATTGAATAAAACCTAAACTTCTATCCGAGAGTAGCTGTTGAAGTAGATTCACACAGACCAGCAAGTGGTTATTTGAAAAGAGAACTTCATGGGTAGACAGTCTCGGATGGATGAAGCGTTAGTGTCTGCATGGAGCACAATTAACTAGGGTAATCTGAAAGTAGAGTTGTTCTGTGTCTAAATCAGTTTGACACACCTCTTGCTCTAGTGTAGGTAGGCAATTTTGCTATTTTATATTGTGGATTGGTATTTAAAGTGTATTCTAAAAGTAAGATTGATGAAATGTTTCAAATGAGTTTTATTTTCTTGAAAGTCAAAAAGTTCAGAAATGTTATTTCAGGCATAGTTTACAAATTACAGTATCCAGGCATAGCAGATGTTTATTTAAAAAAAATGTGAACATATCTGAACATTGCATATGCATGTCTGTTTCCCCAAATCTGTTAGAGAAATATATGTGCATACTTCTCCATATTTCATATTTAGAGCAATTATTTTGTGTTTATAAGTAACCAGGAGGTAAAAGGCTTAGAATCCTTCTTGGAATATGAAGTGAAGTACAATGAGAGCAAGATAGGAGCAGGCTGTTATGCTTATATTGATGTGACATGACCTTGCAGGGCCTTTAACGAAGCTGTTTTCAGAGTATGTTAGGGTCTTGTATCTCTGGTTGATTTCCATCATTTTCCACTGGAAATGAAAAGATTATTCCCAATAGCGATTATTATTAGTTTTCTGACTTTATAGGGATTTACTTTTCTTTTAGGTCGGAGGATCAAAGTCCTTAAGTTTGTATGACATTATTTTGCTGTATTCATTACTTTGTTTACTTTATCTCTTTAAACAGTATAGCTTGTCGTTGGTAAACAATGCAGAGAGATAACTTCCAGTAAGACTGTTAAGTTATCTCTGATAAATTTAGAGTAATTTGCGTGTAGATCAAATAGGACACCTTTGGGAATTTATAGTTTTGAGAAATGAAAGAAAATTCTTCTGAGATCTCTTGGTATGCTAAAGACTTTAGCTTTGCAGTGCTTAACAATGAAGTATGCGGACTGTAAAATATGTTTTTATCAAAAGCAATGTATTAATGAATTTAAATAAACTAATTGCAGCGTATCTTTCTTACCTTACGTGTCTATTTGGAAAGATTAGCATTACAGATAGAAATCCATAATTTACTTGTTAATCTGTTCTCTTCTGATTTACTCGCCAAGCTTGCAATAAAAATATATTTATACATTCAAAGCTTGTACTTCAGTAGGTGCCATTTTCTGAATTTAAAAATAGGCTGCATGTGTTGCATAAAACGCCTTTGGGCAGGAGAGGAGGGGGATATCTGTCTGGTTGACATGGAACATAAGAAAAAAATCTGAAGTATGCTAGAGCTAAATATACTGATAAGTATGCAGCTATGGGGGGAAAAATGAGTTAAAACGTATTGGGCTTAGTCTTATTAGCACATTAAATGCCAACAGAATGGTAATATCCCACTCTTTATCAGAAATAATAACCATTTTGCTGTGAAGTCAACTCAGACCCTGTAACATGTGCAAACAAAGGAAGTGTTTTCTTTAGAGTCTAGTTACGAAGGACAATGAGCATTTGCTCTTTGTTCCGCTAGCCGTCTGCGGTGTTGGTGTTGAAAATGAATGTTGTAATGTTGAAATAAACTTTAGCTATTGTAGCCCCACAAACATCTTGATCCAATTCTCCATTTTAAAAGCAAGTCTGAAGCAGATGTAAATGAGTGTGGCTGGGCTTTTTATGATGGCTCAGAGTGATACACCTGGGGATGTGAGACTGCGCTGCTGCTTTCGGATTAGTTCATCATCGCAGGGAAAGGTGCAAGATTGTTGCAGGCTTAAGAATGTGATCTCTGCAGCATGAGCTTCTTGCCAAAGGGGCAAGGTTGGCCTGTCTCTTTATCTGTCACTTACTTCTGAGTTGCTGAGATCTGTTATGACAAGTTAGTGAAAAATTCCGAGTAGGATTATCAGAAAGGTAACATGGTTTTCTGTCACTGTAATTAAGGTGGCAATAGAGTATTATTCCTCAACTAACGTAGAGACTGTGCGTTTTAAAAATTTATTGGCAACATAGTTTAAATAAAGCGGTTCGTGGGCAGGAACATAATAATGCTTGTACTGTTCAGCCAAATGCAGCGTGCTTTGAGCTGGCCACACAGGTGGCAGGGCTGCGCTGTTGAGAGGAAGCTGGCAGGAGGTGTGGGTGCAGGTGCTGGCTGTGTGCAGGGCCACGGCCAGGTGTGCACGGGGACCCTCTGGAGCAGCTCACAAGGGCCCACGGTCCCACGAGGTGCAGGACAGGCTTTTCTTCCCACGTGTATGTTTGCGTGCTGAGCTGAGTGCAACGGCAGAGGAGCTGTCGATGCTGGGGCCTAGCAATAAACGTTTGCCAGGGCAGCTTCAGGAGAGTCTGCCTTGGACCTTGAGGTCCACCTGCGCAGCTACTGCCTGTGAGTGAGGATGCAGTGCGCTGCCAGATGGGTGCTCTGCAGACTTGAATCTCTCCCAAGGCTGGCACGTTTCTGAGGAATCAACTTGCTTTACAAGAAGTCTGGTATTTTTAGTAGAGTCTTGCAAGGTTGGAGGCCCTTGATAGTGAATGAGGCTTTGACACTTACTGCTTGTAGATATTTTTTAGCGTCCTGCTGCTAGTCCTGGGTAGTTCTGAGCGTGAGTGGGTGTAATTTCCTTTAATTCATTGCACTTGCACCTACTGCTTTCAGTGCTGGATTTGGCTTGTTGTTAGGGCAGGGATGGCTTGTAATTGTTTGGAGACTTCTTTATTATAGTACTTGGGTTTGGAGGGTTTGCTTATTTTATTTTGTCACTGCTCTGACCTAGAGAATTCTTCACGTGAACCAGGAAGGAAATTTGGAAACAACCCCCTGGCTAAGCTCTCTAAAGTACTTCTGTCTGTCCAGGTTGCTTTAGATCCTTTCATTTATTTAATAGGGTTCAAATATAATATCACAGAGAGCACTGATGCTGGTTAGCAGTGTCAGCAATACTAATCAGACATAATTCAACTGACTGTCATATAAAGGAAAGTAAGATAAGGTAGGGGGAGAAGAAGGCAAGTCACTTCAAAAGAACTCTTCTGAAACCCAGCTCTGCTCTAATCTGTCTTTCAAAACTGGCTTCTCCTGCCCTCATAGAATGAATCAACCTGACATTTTAGCAATTTTTTAAAGAAACGGGGTGAAGTGTTTGGAATGCATCAAAGGGGTGAAGCAGAGAAGATCTGAAGAAGATCACCTTTTATCTGATATCCTCTTTTTTTATTGCAGAGGAGCAAAAGCAGGTTAGGTCTTTGACCCCTCTTTTCACTTTATGGAGTTCTGTATTGTTTTCTGTGAAACATACTTTAGTCTAAAAAGGGTTTTATCGCAGGAGTTACCGTACGTAACTTTCATATAAATTGCATAAGCAAAGACATTTAGTCAGGAGGATGGGGTCTTTTGGCCTTCCTGCTGCACAGTATATGTACCCTCTTCACTCTGAAAATAATTGTATTCTGAAATAGTTCAAAAGCGTATGTGTATTTAGGGTCACATATGCAACGGAGAAGATTCCGTTATCTCAATCCAGCTGTTGTAAACGTAGAAAAATAAGCATTGCTTCTCTGGAAGTTATAGGGTATGAAGAATCTCACTTCTTTCTTTCCAAGTCAGTTTTCAGTGTAGAACTATCTTTGAATGCTTGTCTTCTAAAATACTCAGTGCAAGTTTATTCTTCTTGCACTGGTATTGGTAGTATAACTCTCACAGATTTTTCTAGGAGGAAAGTTAGGCCAGTGCTGAGTCCTTCTAGAAGAGTTATTTTCCGTTGTCCTTGCTGCTGCTACTCAGCTGTAGGAGCTGACTTATGTGTCTCTAAGAGAGATAATCCTTTATTACTGACTTGTCTGGACTTTAAAAGAGCCAAAAGGTGTGACTGCTTTTTAGAATGTGTTAATAACTTTCCTTCTAGTATGGTACGGAAGTGTTTCATTTCAGGATTCCCTGCAAGTATAGCTTGAGCCACTGGCTGCAAAAAAAAAAAAAAAAAAAGTTGTTTTGTATAGAATGACAATCATTTGAGTTGAAATGTTAAAGAAAATACCGTAACTTACTAATGTGTATGTATTTCAACTTCAAGCAAACTGTTAATGTTTGTTTTTTTTAATACTTTCCAGAGACGCATGGAATCACGTTTAGAATTCAAATCAGCGTGAAAGAACTGCTGGATACCGATGTACTTTTAAAGCTGTTATTTCACTTACCAGTCAATTATCCATCAACTCTGCCAGATATTTCTGTTAACTCAGACCAGCTTACAAGGGCCCAGTGTATGGATGTGAAAGATAAATTACTTGAGCAAGCAAAGAAACATCTTTCTGAACCCATGGTACACGAGCTGGTTCTTTGGATACAGCAGCATCTTAAAAATATCATTAGGCAATCAGCAGCAGTTTGCAGTAAAAAAACTACTTTGTCAAGAGGAGCAAGTACAGAGAATGGTATCTGGATGCTCTTTTTGCATTTAGATCACATGAGAGCAAAGGCAAAATATGTCAAAACTGTGGAAAAATGGGCTTCAGATCTAAGGCTGACTGGAAGACTGATGTTCATGGGCAAGATAATATTGATTCTTCTTCAGGGTGACAGGAGCAACATTAAGGTGCAGGAACAATGAATGTTGACTAGTTCTATCGATTTACCACTGAAACCTATGTGTCTGAATATTTTGTGTGCGTTTTTCTAACGCTAACAATTTTCGAAGCAGATTGATCATTAGGAGAGTAGGAAGGCCCAACGACTTTATTCTGTATTTAAGAAAAAGTAGTTATTTTATGGGAAAACAAATAAGTGAAGCCTATGGACCCGTGTCCTGTGTTCCTTTGCTTTCCACCGTAATCATCCCCCTGTATTCCCCATGTTTCCTGACTGTAATATGCTTAGATTCCATCTCCTGTATTCCCAAAATACTCCAGAAAATACCCTAAAATAGAAAATTTGTGTAAAGAAATTGGTAACAGATGTGTTTCTAGCTCATTCCTATCTGTTTCCTTCCTTGCTAATTGGAGCAAATGGTGTTCATATGACACACCTGGGATGTGAACTTCTTGTCTGTACTTATGAACTCCCACTGAATTAGGCAGGTCTTTGTGGTGATATCAGAGGAGGGAATGTTTTGGCTTTTCAAGCTCAGGTTCTCTAGATCACTTAAGAATGTGTGTAACTTAAAGCTAATGAATAGAAACAGGCATGCAGTGTTTGGGATGAGCACTTTCAATGTTTGGTTACTAGGTTCCGAAGTAGGTCTTTTTGTTTAGCATAGATCTTTGCATTTTACTGAACTTCAAAGATATTAGGTGAAACTTAATGTTTTGTTCTTTTTGTTGCTTAGGAATACTTGATTCATCAGAAAACTTCTAAGGTAGACGTGGACTCCAGTGGAAAGAAATGCAAAGAGAAAATGATTAGTGTACTGTGTGAAACAAAAGTACAGTCACAGCATACAAGGTATAATTGAGTACTGTTGTGGACAGAAAAGTAACTGAATCAGTAATTACATTCTGACAAATCTAGGCATATTCATTTTTCCTTGTACAATGTAGGTTTCAGACGTTTGAAGTCAAAGACTATTCAACTCTGGATGAGCTACAAAAGGAGTTTGAAGCTGCAGGACTTGCAACTCTTTTCTCTGAGTTTGTGCCTCCTCTCTTAAAGTAAAATTAAAACAAAACACTGGACTGTCTGACCAAAGCAGCAGTTGACTGTGGATGCTCATGGAAGATGAAAAGACTAATTTGACAAATGACTCTAAAGCCTCTTTGAGAGAGAGAGAGAAGAAAAGAAGTCGGAAGTAGCCATCTTTCTGCAAGCAACAAAAGGCAATTCATGCATTAAGAACTGGTGATGTTTTTGACTTTATGTGCTGATAACTGTTTCCAAGGAATGTGGAGTTAATTGTGATATTTGCACACCAAACATGAGAGGCTGGGAGTGGGGAGGTTATAAATAAAAGCATCTTCTTCTAATTAAACTTTCTTTTCCAGTACTTGTTTTCATTGTTTTGTTTTTGACTCTCTCTCCTGATAGTGGATTTTCAATGATCTGCTAAAAAGCTTCATCAGTTTTGCTTTCAAAACTTACGTGAGTGTATTTCTATAAAAAGCATAGTGAATACAAATTTGAATATGTGAGGTTAGCATATGGTTTGTATGCTATAAGTGCTCATCTGCAAACTTTTCCTTCTCCGTTTATTTGACTCTGTAAATACTTGAATGTTGATTTAAAGAGAAAGTTTGTGTCGCTTGAGACCTGAACAAATTTTCAAGTGTCTATTTGAATATTACAGTTTTCACCCTAAAAGGTATAAAAACACCCAAGTGGAGAATTTGAATTAGTTTAAAAAGTTGTATAACAGCTGAGGTAAAGCCAGATATTCATTTATTCTCAATTAAAAGATTTGTGTTGAAAAAAAATTGTGTTGGTGGAGTCTAAGGTCTTGAAAAGATGCAGAGGCTCTCTCTGTATACCGGCAAGGTCTGGCAGGTATTGAAAACAGTAAAAGGTTTATGCATGTGTGGTGTAAGGAAGATTAATCAGTATCTCTCTGCGATTCTGTATGTTGTAAGGTTTTGTCAGATAGATTTTATGTCCTCAGCCAAATCTATAGTGTGAAATCCCCCTACTCTTCTGGAAAGAGAATAGTAAGGTACTTCCAGCACAACTTGCATCAAAATCTGAGCCATTAACGTATAGCTGGGCCTTATCTGACTTGCATATAAATCAGTTGAGTATTATTTCTGTTGGTTTTTGGGAACTGGATTGAGCAGTGTACCTCATATGTGATCTTAAATTGTATGTGACCGCAAAAGTAGTTGAAGCGCACCATTGTCTCTTTCTCACTGATAAAAGCTAGTACAATCAGCTGATTAAGAAAAGCTATTTGTAGGGTCAGTGGCTGCAAGTTGCACTTGGATATAAACTCATATATTTCCTTTAATATTATTACCAGATGCCTTCTTGATTAACTGTTCGGTCAGAGCTAATGTTCTGTAGCAGCCAATTAAAAAAAATGCTAAAGAATAAATGACACATGGGTAAGTTATGGTTCTCTGCTAATCTGTGTTTATTCTTTTGCCAAATGAAAGTTGTTCTAAGAAGCTTGATGATTTCTGTATTTCAGGAAGCACAAAAAGCAATTTATACAATAGATTTCTATCACTGCTGAATGTGTTACTCGCTAACTTGAATTGGACAAATCAACAAGTCCAGTGTAGGAAGGGATTGCGGTTTTTCTGCTTGGTTTGGTGCGCTTTAAGAGAATTACAACTCTGATCAGCCTGGTACTGTTCAGACAGCAAAGAATAACATGAAAACCAATGTCAGCCTGATTCTGTCAAAGCAAATGCTTTTGCCTACCCATCGATCAGTCACTTAGTTTGAAGGGTAGGAGTATATCTTGTTTTTAGACAAGTAAACACTGTTCTTAAAGGTTGTTCTTTTGGAAAGATTTTGCAGCTGTCTATTAACTGATGGTTTGTTTGCATGTATTGTAAAAAGAGATGGGCAAGTCTGTGAGCCCCTGGGGCAAAAAAAGTCATAGAAGCACAGACTATGGTGCATATATTTCCTTCCAAAGGAAGAGAAACAGACACAGAAGAATAAAATGCAGGGAAAGGAAGCCAAAACTCCTGAGAATAGTTAAGTGAGTGCACGTATCAGTATCTAAGAAGCAAGTACAGCGTATATAGCTATCGGAGTCAGACACTTCACATGCAAGGAAAAACAAAGTCCACAAAGAGAAAATGATTTAACAATGAGAAACTAGCTTTGTTGTGGATATTGTAAGTAGTTTTTTGAACAGCACATTTAATAAAACCTCATTTGCTGTGAGTTTACTTGTGTCTAAGTGCACGTGAAGCCTTTCTTGTAGTAGAGACGTTCATGACAGTGCGTTTCCAGCTGGATTCTCCAGTGTCTGATATCAATTATGCTTGCTCTGCCTACCTCATTAAAGCATCAATAGCATTTTTCCTCCTCTGTCTGCTACCTGTGTTTATCAAAGTTGTAGAAACTTGGTTACTTTGAGACCTTAAACCTTGCATTTTGGTTGAAATGAATTGAATTCAGAAGTTCTAAAAAAAAGTTTGTAGTATAAATACGTGCATGCCCCATACGGACAGCACAACAGCATAACCATAGTTTCCTTTGGAAGTCAGGCTAAAATGAAAGCTGTTGTAATAGGACTGACTGCTTGAAAAACCAAATTTTGTAAGACAAACCTGAATTTTGACTGGTGTTTTTCAATGCGTCATCTTATTAACTGCGAAGAAAACAAGATACTGAAATAGGGGTAAAAACCTAAACCCCAAATTGGCCTTATTAGCACTGTTGTTTTTGTGGGAATGCATCATGTCCAAAGCATTCATTCTAATCCAGAAAAGATTCAAAGAATGACGTGTTAACCTTTAGTCTAAGGGCGTGAGTGGGTATCCACCAGTGTCTAGGAATGTGTCACTAGCGGTTTCAGGCAGGTTTGTAGGGGAAAGGCATGTGTTCACCTTTTCTGCTCCTTGTATGTGACTAGTCAAGGAGTTTCCAAGGAAGCTGTATGTCTGCATTTTCTGTGGTTCAGGAAGGATAGTCTGGGTAGATCTGAGGAACGTTTCTCTCCTGCCTTTTGTGCAGCAAATGTAATTTGAAGTAACCAAAAGGGCGACATGAGGTCCAGATAATTTTTACTGCTGTATGTAACATATCAGGTCTTGCTACATGTGTATGCTACTACTGTGGCAGTAAAACAAGGAAGATATGGGACTGCTTACAGATTAAACTATCCAGTTCTACGAGAACTCCGTTTTTTTGCAGTCTTTTTAAAAATCCTTACTGACAGCCATTTCCTGCTTGTAAAATCTGGTAAAATCTGTACCTGTGTAGAAGGAGGAGCCAGAATAAACCTCCCTTCTTTTCACCAGCAGGATTGACTACTAATCTTTCAAGGCACTACTTATAGCAGTCATATGTACTACTTATGTTTAAGGATTTTTATTATCGTAAGTTGAAAAGAAACCTTTATATCTAGCACGCGCTGGAAAGTAGCTTACCATTCAGGAGACTAGCATGGCTTCAGTGGAAGTAAGGAATGCGGAGTTCCAGATGAGGGAAGCAATTTTTAATAGGGGACATCATCAGTACTGAGAATTCATCTGCTTTTTTTAGTTACTGAATCTCATTAATATTGTAATTGTTGCCCCCCTCGTTTGTTATATGCTGTTACAGGGAAGATGAAGCAGAACTCTGAGGTGAAAATCCTTGGAATGATCTCTTTAAACTAAAAAATGTAAAGTAGCTTTTTCATTTGATGGATACGGCCAATTTTTGTGTTTTTATGGTTTTATCTCTTTTTCATGTAATAATGCTATTCGTTTCTTTTTCTGTGTGAATGACCCCAAGAAACAGCAAGATTAAAATAAATTACACAAAGTATTGTAAAGTGCACCAAATAAAGAAACTTAATAGTGGAAAAGTGTTTTATTTACACTGTTTCTTTTAAAAATAGTTTAATTAAAGGCGTATAAGGATGATGTAAAACTTAATGTCTCTTGATTTGTTCAGCTTATCTGTGAAAATGCAAACATAATCATGTTATAGTTCATCTGAAATAAGATGATAAAATGTTGCACATACTGTATTTCTGGCAGAATTTGAAAATGAAATTGCCTGTATTATGAAATAGTGCAATTGTTGAAATCAACTTTCATATATCTTATAGTGTTATTAAACATTATTATCCTGTCTCTTTGTGCATAACACACGTAGCAGTGCTAACGCTCTGTTCTGGTTTTATATTTTATATGTATAGTTAATTTTACGTTATCTTATGTGAGAAGTATGATTGTTTATATGCTTAATTATAGACATAAATGGAACTTGAAATGTAAATATGCTAATAGCATTTTGCAGTTATTGTTCTGAGCTATCCTAATCTGTAGGCTTTTATATCAATATTAGTTTGTGTTTTCTAACCTCACAGTATTAACTTGCAACACAGAGCACTCTTTAGAGTGACAGAAAAATTTGTAAATACGACAGGTATGCCTAGTAATTTAAGGAATTCTTTGGACTCTTAACAATGAAATCCCTTAATATTTTCAGTCAATTATGCATTCAGGGGCTTTAATTTTATACTAATAAGGTATCAACCATTACACTTCTTGATTTTTTTTTTGTTTTGTTTCGTTTTTGTGTTTCTTAAACAAGTAGTCAGTTTGTATTCTGCATTAGAACATAGCTGATCATGGAAACGTGGTCAATATTTTATCAGTACTTCCCATTATAAATTTCCATTATTCATGGTTTATAACTTGAACGTGAAATGTCATTTTACGATGAAATTTGATACAGAAGGTCTCTGCATGAGAACAATGACAGTACTTTGTGCTTATTATCTTCCAACTTTTACATTGCTGAGAAAAGAAACGAAAACTGATTTATATGGAAAATAGTCAAATGATCACAATTTTCCTGAGCAGATTTTAACAGACTAACTCGCTGTGTTATAGTAGGTCTTGATGACTGCTGGTTGGACATAGATATCTAAAGGCCTTAATGGGGCCCCTTCTGGCAATGTCTAACTGCTCCACTGAAGCCTCTACCTGGAAATTTCTTGACTCTGATACTGAGCACTGAGGAACTAGTTTCTACTATTGGAAAACAAAGAATGATCGACTGCTGCCTAATCTGAGTTTTACATCAGGAGAGCAGTTTCTTCCAACCAATTTTAATCCCATCTAATGGTACTCCTTTATGTTAGTGCTATAGATGCTAATAATCTAAACTTTACACTTAACGCTAGTCACAAAGAATGCTGCAGGGATTCAGTGCCTTGTTTTTAAGCCTGAAGATGCTAGAATCAATGTACCTTTAACCCTCTTAGGATGCACTTTGAAGAAAAAAATCACAAAATGATTTTACTTGGTCTCTGATCGCTAAACTATGGTATTTTACAGAAACTGGGTATTTTTATATGGCAGTTGACAGTATGAGTAGTATCTTTCAGTCAAGATAATATAAAAAGCAGTCCTTTTTTAAAGTAAAATAACTACTCTGGAGAGCGCTGTCCATGTGAGATGCTGAACAGAAGCTGAGCTGTATGGATAGAGCTATGCCAGAGACTGGTTTTTATTTGGTAGAAGTGGAGGTGTTAGAAGGGAACAGACGGCAATAGCACTGGTGGTGTGGCTCTCAGAGAAGCCAAAAGTTTTTTTGGGATTGATTACTGTCTGAAAAGAGGTTTGGGAATATGAGCAAAGAAATTGCTGCTGCATCCAAGCTTCAAGTAGCAATGTCTGAAATAAATACGTAGCTTCATTGTCATCTTCTCTTTTTAGCAGAGCGTGTAGAACTAAGAACAAATAATAGAAGTTTTCACAGTTAGAGATGACCAACCTAACTCAAGAGCTGTAGGCTATGCAAAGGAATTAAAGCATTTTTTAGAAGTTTTCCTGAAATGACTGAGGGGTGAAAAGGGCTTTGTTGAGGCAACAACCTCAAAAAGTCTTATGACTGGGAAACCAGGCTGTCATGCTTCCAGGTGGTTGGAAAGATGGATTGAAGAGGTGAACAGCAGCTTTCAGGAGCAGATTATCTGCAAAATAGGAGAGATCTGGAAGGACTAATGGGACTGACATATCACTTTCAGAAAAAATTGGCCGCTTGGGTGTGGAATCAGAGAACATAGGTAAGTTTTTAATTTTTATATCTGCATTGTTATTATAGAAGCCTGGAGCGGAGTTTGTAGATTGTCCTCTCTCACATACTGCGTGATGGCTTAACAAGCTTATGTATTGCATTTCCACATCAATTAGAAAGATAGCTTTGGATGATGACAGGGTGGTCCAGTGCTATCACGTGATTTAACTGCCACAAACCTACCCTGGATCAAGAATTTGGTATGGGATTAAGAGCCACCCTTTAAATTAGGCAAAGCACATCTAATAAAAGCAAAGATGGGAGGGAAAGAAAAGACTCCACTGGAATGGCTAGAAGATTTCCATAAATGTTTGATTCTAAGTTAATCCCTATAGCAAGGGAAGACTTCAAGGTTGCATTTGCATTGACAAGGAGCCACATAATAGAAATTCAGCTGGACTTGAGTATGTAGATCAGAATTTCTGGGCTGTAAGGTCCTGGGAGTCTGGCTGCTTCAGGCTAGTTTTGAAGAGGCAGGAGAAGACTTTGGAACAGGGATAAAACCTCAAAGGAAAGTACTCATTTGAAAATTGGTGCTGTGGAAAAAAATGATAATAGCAAGAAGGACAGTTATAAAGTAGAATAAAGACACATCCCCCAAATGGTCTAGAGCACTTCTTGCAGCTTCTGAGTGGTGCACAGAAGCTGAGGTTGACTCCCAGCAGAGCGGGATGGGTATCTGCTCAGTAGTGCCTGCTACTGGAGTGCTGTGTTTGCTTGGTTCCTGCTGCTCTGTGGCTTTACAGCAGGATCACTGTCACATCTACCTGCAAAAGAGCTCCTAGGGTGTGGGGTTTGTGGACAGCTAAAAGCAGAGGCAAAGCTTGGGAGTACAGGCATCAGACTGACGTTTTTTAAGGTCTCGGTGTTTGAACAGTCATGGAAGTTAGGTTACCGAATGTGCAACAGGTCCTATAATATCCATAGGAGCAGTAATACAGGCTCATAAATGTTTATTTAACAGACCAAATACACTGAAAAAGCTACATAACTTGAAGCAATACAATCAGTTTCAAACTGAGGGAGTGACTGTAGAAGGTGAACCTGTTTAATAATGGGGAAAACTGTTTCTGAAAGCTGGACATTTGGATTGTAGCTGAGATGATGAAAAACCTAATAATTGGGGATTTTTGTGCTGTTGTTGTTAATAACTGTGTAAAACAGGCAAATAAATGTTTCTTACTGATGTAGTCTGTAGGATTTTCTCATAAACGTATTGCTAAGGTGAAACAAATTAGTTGTGGGCAATTGTTTTGCAGCAAAAAAGTTTTCCTACCCCCAGGTAGGAGGTGAGATTGAAAGTCCTGAATGATATTTTATGGATCTGAAGTAGAATGGGCTACAACTTGCAGAAGATCTCTTACTAACAGCAAATCATTAAAAGTGGAGCCATAAATGTTACAAAATTTCAGCTTGTGTGGAATAAAGAAAACTACCCTAGAGAAAGATGAGCATGTGTGATTCCTGTTACTCAGTAACAGAAGTAGCAACAAGAGAGTCTGAGATTTTTCTGGATAGAAATCAGGAATTCTTTTTATGAGCCAGCACCAAGAGATTACATTTGTCCCATTTAATTATCACTTCACCATTTTCAAATAGCAGAAAGAAAGAGGTCTGGGATGTACTTTTGGAAGTATGTCATGAACGTATAACTGAACTTTTAACAAATCTATAGGTCACTCATTAGTTTAAAAGGAAAAAAAACAACACATGGAAATATCAAATTCTTTTTAAAGCATTCTGATTTTTTGTGCCAGGTAAAAGATTGTTTTTCTTGTGTACTGCACTTTTTATAGTGGCCAGTAGCAAGCAGAAGAGGAACCAGAGGTCTGGGAAAAGACTAGTTTCACAGCAAAATGTGGCTTGTGGCAATCTGAAGTGACGGCTCCTAGCTTGTGCAAGACACTGGCAATAGCTGAGAGACTAATGTCTGCACAGGTAAGGTTTTTTTGGCCTATTAAAGCTAGAGGATATGCTGGAACATGCTAAAATCTTTGAACAAGAACTAGGATGTGAACAAATAATCTGCAATAAACCTCAGGTTATCGCTCAAATCACTGAACATGATGTGAGTTGTTCCAAAATGTGGCAATTTATCTCTGGGCACAAAGTAAAAAGGGTAGACTTTCCTCTGACAAACAGAAAGCTGTGGCCATGCAGGAATGGGAGGTTTGACCAGACTCTATGCTTTCTTGCTTTGGCAGTACTGGAAAATTGCTGTGTAAGAAACGGAAACAGAAATGTTTGGTATACGAGTGGTTAGCAGACCATGATTTAACATTTTTGTGATTGGAAGTCTTCTGCGGCTGCTGTTTGTTGCCCCGTTTTGTTTCACAACCCCTTTCGTATTGAATGTAGAACAAAAACAATTTAAAAAAAAAGGCTTGAGTCGTGATTGGCTTAGGACAGCAAAATCCTGAGTTTTCCAGTATAAAGTACAATTTTCCTGCAAAGCAATTGCTGGCAATTGTGGAAATGGTAAATGGATACCACTACTTCCTGGAGGATGTCTGTAGTCAGGATAGACCAGGTGTCTCTTCAGTTGCTTTATTTGCCAATGCTGATCTAGAAGGGAGAACAGAGTTTTGCTTATTTAAGGAATGGGTTTGTGCTGAAAACCCTCACTTTCTTTTACAGGTTGCATTAAGTGCTGGCTTCTTCATTCATCCAGTAGATCAATAGATATGGAGTTACCACTATGAACTATGTATATCTAAAATAAAGGCTCTTAATAGTGTACGAGTGAAATTTCATCTGGCAACCATAGCTATCCTAGAATGTAACATCCCCTCAGAAAATCACTGTGAAAGTTTTCTGGTCTTACTGGAACGGACGGGAGTTTGAGAATTAAACGTTGGGTAGAAGGGGGGTGGAGGAGAAATTGTGACTGCACCAGTTACACTGATATTTGCGAATGAGCTAAGGACCCCAGTACAGCTTTTGGTAGAGTTTCTGAAGAAAAGGGAGGAGATCTGGATGTAGAATGGAGGATGGAGAAGGCTTGTGATAAAGAAGGCTGGATAAAAATTGAGGTTAGCTCCTGAGAGTGAAAATAGTCTATGGTGGCCAGTTGGGGCACTTTCTTGTAAAAGAGTCGGAAGTCTCCTAGGACAGAACTCAAACTTCTCTGCAAACGCTGTCTGACGGAGCACCAGATGGGCATGATTTCAGTCTGGCTGGCCCCCAGAACTGAGAAAGTAGCTTTGGCAGCTAAGTCTGGAAGAAATGTGAAAGCATTTTCTGTTCAGGCAAAGTGGGCAGCTTCTATCCAAGACAGCTGCTATCCCTGGCCACCTGACAGGCACAAGGAATTAGGGATGCGTTGGAGATGTTTTTAGGCTACGTGAAAACTGATATTGACAGTGCCTCTGGGAACACTTGATTGACACCTTCAAGATTTTCTTTGCAAATATGAAGATAGAAATATTAAAACAAAACCCACCACCACAACAACATTGTTTTTTCTACAATGCCATTTGCTTTCACGGTCTTGGAATACACCAGGTTCTCCTATTGTCAAAGACGTGCCAATTAGGTGAAATGCAGAGTTATATTGAGGGGGCATGTACAGAGAATAGGTATATGTGTGCATCTATATGAGAAATATGTAGTTAAGTCTCATTGGTCAGGAAGACATGGCCTCGCTTAATTTGAAGATGTAGAAAGCACTTACTATGAAGCTGGGCTTCTGAACCCAAGTTTTGATGATTATTTTAAAAAGCAGACCAGTATTGAACTGAATAGAGTATCTCAGACCAAAATTTGTTCTGAATCTCGTCTCTAGCCTTCAGACATCTCACATTATATGCAGCATTATCCTATTAACTGTCCAAGTTGTTCAATGGGTTGTTTTTATCTAAGGGCAGTTCTGGCATTGGAAGTAAGGACCGCCCTGCTGTCATGAGGCCAGGGGGACGTTAATTCCAGAACTCTGTGCTACGAGACACAGTCCTTTTGGTTTTTTACTGTGAAATATCTTTGCATTTGCTAAGCACTAGAAAATGATCAAATGTTGCAAGTGAGCTACACAGCTGGATAACAGTATAGGATACAGATTCTCAGTCTGTGAAAATCCATACACTGCCATGTATATAAATGGAACGATACTTGGTTTTTTCTCATTAGAAGAAATGTAGTTTATCCTGTCTATATGAAAGCAAATTATTTAGTGAAGTGCCATGAAAATTCTTTTTTCCTATCTGAAACCAATTTAATATTAACTGCTGTATTAACTAGTGCAACCGCTGCCCGATACTGAGCCCAGTATTAACCTCTTTGGTGGAGTACACAGTGTGGCGGAGTGGCTGATCTCACAAAAAGTCTGCCTCTGTTTTGGATGTAGTAGGTATTTTATTTTTTTCTCTGCCCTAATAAAAGGGGAAGAAAGGGGGATAGACCTTCTAGAATACAGTCCTTAATGTCTGTCCAGTCTGCCCCCTTACAGGAGAGGAATAACTGAGGGTTGAAAGGGGAAAAATCCTTACTGTTGTGCTTTCCCTGAAATAAGGAATATTTTAGAGTCCTGTGTCTCGTGCATGAGACTCAGTGAAAGAGAGTTCAATTTAGATCGTAAGAGTTTGGGAGAAACACAGATCTGAGCCTCAGGATTCGGCTTTTGACTCTTGGTTTGTCTGGGTGTTTTATATGTCTTTGCAAATGAATGCTAAAAGCGGGGCTGTGAGCGGCACAGGCTCAGATCGCTGCAGGGACCTGAAGAGGTGAAAGCACAATTGAAAAGGTCTATTTTAAATGTTTAAGGAATTAATAATTGCTGAAAAGTGCAGATTACTGGAAGAGCGAGCATCTTATGTGCTGTGTTACAGACAGATCCAGCACTTGTGGGAGACGTTTGTGACAACAGTCTTTCAGTGGGTGACATTTATGTACCTGATAAAGAGACAAGACCTCTTTATGTAAAATTTACAATGAGCTTTCTAATGTCATCGTTTTTTTAGGCTTAAAAAATTCCTTGTCTAATAAAATTAACTCCTTGTGTTCAGCGACTGGCTTCTCAGCGCTCCGAAGGGCAGAGG